AAAAAGTATGATCCGTAGGTTCTTTTTTTTTTTTTAAAAATTACATCATTACGCAGTGAAACTTTTATTTACGATACAATTAGAAATTAATCAGTTTCTCATTACTCAATGAGCGTAAGCGAGATTGATTTGGGTTTTCAATGTAACGATGATTATTTGTCAAGTGGTGCTATATTCGTTGTTTATTATTTATCTAAAAAAAAAAAAAAGAAGACTTTCCGAGACATTTTGTCACAGGGGATCGTAGAAAAATGCGATGTGTTAGTTTGCCGCTTCCCTATACATGCCCTTAGTTCAAATTTCAGCCGGTTTTTCTTCCTTCTGGGGGGATATGAGCTGAAATTCACCGACAATTAAACAGTTCCTCGAGAAATTTCCTTGATAAATTAAATCCTGTAAAACTAAGCATGCGTATGTTACCTGCTCCTGGATATGTTTGCTGTTTTTCCACAATTATGGTATACTCGCGAAATTTATTACAGCATGTGAGAAATTTACATGATATAGGCCTACTGAGCATTTTTTTTTTGGTGGATCTGCTTGAAAAAAAATTCACTCAGGTTTATTCTAAATTTAAATAGTCCCTATGACTCATATTTTTTTTTTTTTGCTATGGAGAATTAAGAATAATACAGATATATCTAACATATATAACAAACAAAGAAAAATGATTTCTTTTAATCAGTCTGGGGAATATAGTCTTGATCTGCCTACCTGCTACACGTAACGTCACAATGGTGGAAGTGACGCCTCGGTGTATGTTTTTGTGTGTTTATGTCAACAGACGAACCAAGACTACAAAGTTTAGATATGTTTTTGTGTTATTCTTCTGTAGGGATTTTTTACGGGGGGTTCAATGAAAATTTATTGTCGCAAATGTCGAAATGGAATCCTCTTTGTTGAATGACTCGAAACAACAAATAAAAGATGAAGGAAGTGTGGGATGTGTTTTTTCGTGATATTCACTAAAATATTGCATAAATAACTGACTAAAAGGTAAATTCAATCATTGATTCAACAAATTCATGCATTTTCAGAAAAAAAGGTCGTATATAACAACGAGAATAAGTCCAAGATTTTTCTCAAATCTCAGCTTACGTGAGATGATCGAATCTCAGAGATGTTGGTGGCATGATGTTTTAGGAAAATCTCAGCTGAGGCAGAAATCTAAGATTTGAGGTTGAGATTTGAGCTGAGATTTTATACGTTGGTGGCCCCGAAGCCAGATGTTCAAAAATCTTTATGAAAACTTTTACTTGTTTTGCCTCTGATATGCCCAGGTGCAGAGAAGATTTTCAAAGAAATAATGCATTTTTTACTACAGATTCACTATATTATCAATAGAGCCCCCCCCCCCCCCCCGACACCTAGAAACACCAGAGCCTCTCACCCTGGGACCAGAAGTTTGCTCATCATACATGTAAGTAATCACTTTGTTTATCTGATTAACACTAAGGAGCAGACAGGATTATTTAACAGAATTAATGCATTTTCACTATATCATCAAGAGCCCCACCATTACACCAGCACATCTGACCCAGGGGTCATGCAATTCACTACTCTGGAAGAAGCAATCATGCTCATCATAACTATATGCTTAGCTTCTTTGCTTTTTAACCAGAAGCAGAAAAGAGTATTTTCAAAGAAATTTTGCTTTTTCACTATATAATCAATAGAGCCCCTCCCCCTTTTTCACCATAACCCTTGACCCTGGGGCTATGAAATTCACAATTTTGGAAGAGGCAATCTTGAATATCATAACAATGTACTTAGTTTGTTTAAATAATACCCAGGGGAAGAGAAGAAGATTTTCAAAGAATTAATACATTTTCACTATATAATCAATATAGCCCCGCCCTAACACCAGAACCCCTGCCCCTGGGGCCATGAAATTCACAATTTTGGAAGAGGCCCTCTTCCTCATCATAACTATGTACTTAGTTACTTTATTTAATACCCAGGAGCAGAGAAGAAGATTTTCAAAGAATTTATGCATTTTCACTATATAATCAATAGAGCCCCGCCCTAACACCAGAACCCCTGACCCTGGAGCCATGAAATTCAAAATTTTGGAAGAGGCCCTCTTCCTCATCATAACTATGTACTTAGTTACTTTATTTAATACCCAGGAGCAGAGAAGAAGATTTTCAAAGAATTATTAATGCATTTTCACTATATAATCAATAGAGCCCCGCCCTAACACCAGAACCCCTGACCCTGAGGCCATGAAATTCACAATTTTGGAAGAGGCAGTCTTGCTTTTCATAACTATGTACTTAGTTACTTTATTTAATACCCAGGAGCAGAGAATAAGATTTTCAAAGAAATAATGCACTTTCACTATATGATCTATATTGCCCCATCCTAGCACCAGAACCCCTGATCCTGGGGCCATGAATTTCAAAATTTTGGTAGAGGGCTCAATGCTTATTACAATGATGTGAACAGTTTGACTGCTTGATATCCAGGAGTAAAGAAGAAGATTTTTAAAGATTGCATTATTTTTGGTGGTTTTAGCCCCGCCCCTCAGGCCCCAGGGGGACAGGGACCATGAAATTCACATGAAAGTCTAAACTCAACGTAATGAAGATTTAGATTTGCAAACAAGGTCATTACACTGACCATAAATTTCTCGACATGTAAAATTCTAAACAAGGCAGTAGAAAGCTCTGTATCATGGACTTAGTTGTCAGTAGGATGTCTTGGTTCAAAACAGTTACTACATAGAAGATACTCTTGCCATTGCAAAATTAGTTGAAAGACGTAGACACCATCTGCAATTGATAATATAATGTGATTTTGTTTTCTTGCAGGACACGGCAATACTTTTATTCTTCTCATGTAGAAGTTTGCACATGAATTCTCCTTCATTAGAACATACAATAATAGGTCGGCAAATTAATGATCACAGTTTTTGGAAATGCGAATTATGTAAAACACATTGTTTGAAGGCTTTCATACCATCTGATGGTTTTGGGGTAAGAATCGTGATTTCTAATTTTCTTTAAATTTTCTACAGGTTTTTTTAGAAACAAGATTTCATTAAAATCACTTCTTTAATATGGTAATTGTAGCACAGTGCTTCTTCACAGCATTTAGATATTTATCTCATGCACATTTAGAGCAATTTTTGAAATTTAAATATGGCATTCTTAAACATTTGTTACACCATTATACAATTACACAGGTATTTATATTTACTTCGAATTTTAACATGAAATTTGATTTGAGTAACATTTTTGTGGACATCCATGGGTTTTAACAGGTCTGGACGATTTTAATATTAATTGCCATAAATGCACAGAATAAACAACATGCTAAGGCAATCTTTAAAATAATGTTTGTTTGCCCTCTCCCTTCACCCAAAGATGCTATATACCAAATTTGGTTGAAATTGGTTGAGCGGTTTCAGAGAAGAAGCTAAAAATGTTCAAATGTTAATGTACGTCGCACGACGACGGACGAAAACGGATAGCAATAGGTCACCTGAGTTACTCAGGTGACCTTAAAATATGAAGAAATTCCTCGAACTTTTGGATCAACCCTCGTACATGTCAGTCATTAAATTTATATAATATACAGTATGCATAAGGAAGACCAAATGTATTATTACTGCATTAAGGAGACCAACTACTATCCACATCTAAATCAGTATTCAACCTCTTTCACTAATAAATAAATAAAATATGAAGAAATTCAACAAACTTTTGGATCAACCCTCATACATGTCAGTCATTAAATTTATATAAAAATAAATATGCAGTATGCATAAGGAAGATCAAATGTATTATTACTGCATTAAGGAGACCAACTACTCTCCACATGTAAATCAGTATTCAAAACGAGAGATTTTAATACCCTAGTAATTTACATGTTTAGTTACATGAACTAAATCTATTTACCTTTGTCATCACGCAAGAACTGTTTTACATTCATCCAACTTTAACAACATTATACATGCATACAGTGTATGCCATACATTAGGAAGACCAGATGCATTATTACAACATTAAAGAGACCATCTACAATGGAACAATGAGACAGTATTCCAAAATGTTCATCCCAATACCATAGTAATTTCCCTTAATTTGTTTGTATTTAGATGACCTAAATCAATTTATCTCAGCCAGAATTGGAACAAAAAAGCTAGTCACACAAGTGGCCAAACACATGAACAGACAGATGGACATGATGATTCCTATGCTTATATACAACCATGCTTATATACACCCAAAGTTGCCAAAGTAGAGCAGATGCAGTGGTTAGAGCGTCTACTCTAGAGTCGCGGAGAAAGAAGCTGATCCTTACATAGCGAGTTTGAATCCCACTGTGGAATGTGGAGACCCGTTCTTCAGATGAGACAGACGTATTAACTGAGGTCCCGTGTCACAGTAGGTGCTGGCTCGATAAAGATCCCTCAATGCTCAATGGCCGTAAGTGCTGAGTATAGGACAAAAATTTGCAGCTCTCCACCAGCAAGTGGTAGCGTCTCCATATGAGTGAAAAATTCTCAAGAGGGACGTTAAGCAACAAGCAATATACACCCAAAACTTTGTTTGCAGAAGATTTTGTGATACATGCTTTACAAGTATACATATTGTTCATAAGGGAATAAAAATGCTATAATATATCATTAAGGAAAGCAACTGAAATTAAATGTGCACTTCTAATTGAACTAAACAAAATTACCCTTTGTCAGAATGTAGATTTATAAACAGGAAGGCTGTTTTTCTTCATTTTTTCCATGTCAGATTCAGACTGTTCTTCAAAAAATTCTGGCATACACCCTGTAAAAGTGAACAGTGCAGATAATAAAGAGCTTCTAAATAAACTGCATAATATTTAAAAGATCCACTTAAAAGGGATAACAAATGCATTTAACTGCATCAAGGAGATCAACTGATATCCATATATATATAAATCAGTACATGTATTTTAATTGTGATATTTTAATATCCTAGTAATTTACATGTTTAGTTTCATGAAATAAATCTATTTACCTTTGTCCAATGAGCACAAGCACTGATTTTTCCTCTTTTTTCTTAACGGAATCACCAAGGCCAGTCTGCGGTCCATATGATTCTGGCATATGTACATTCTGTAAAATGCATATTTGTACCATGTACAGGCATATGAACAATATTTCTATACTACATACATGCATCATTAAACTTAATAATCTTTTTTTCCAAAATTCATTATTCATAGTGTTTTGCTGTTAGCAAAATTCAACAAAAACTATACCGTATATACTCGCCTATAAGGTGGTCTGCCTATAAATCAGTTGTATTTTTTGAGGTTATTTTGGAGGGATTTGCTATTGACCCGCTTATAAATCGGTACAACTTTTTGCCAGAATCAATTGACAATTTCAAATCAATGCTCTGATGTTTTAACCTGGTTTCAAAATACTAATCTTTTTATGACTCACCTATAAGTTGGACATAGAGTATATACAGTACCTGCATTATACATGCATTAGGAAGACCAAATGCATTATTGCAATATTAAAGAGACCATTGCGGCAAATGAAATCAATGTATGAATTGTATTCAAAACTACGGGTGTACTAATTTGTCTGAAGTATATCATGATATAATGTGATACACAAAGACTTGAACAGGATATGTACATATACCCACATTCCTAAATGTAACAACAGTTTAAAAATCAATAATTTTTTTTTTTTTTTTTTTGCAAATTTCACTGTCTAATTTATGAAATATAAAATATTATTTAAAACCATAAAGCATAAAATGGTTGAAAGCTCATTTAATACAATAACTGACATAAATAGGATGTTTAATCTACATTTATTAATATTGTGGGTCATCACCCCATTTTTTGTGAAGGAATCGTGAAAGGCATTGTAATTCCAACTTGCTCACAGAGCAAGTTTTACACAGAGGACCAACTCTTTATTCAAAATTTAGTTTACATACTTAATTTTTTAACAAGTTTAATGGGTTTATAAAACTTTAAACTAAGTCAAAATATTTTGCTTTCTAAATATGGACAAGAAATGTTTTTTGCTTAAAATCACCTTAACTTCAGATAAAAAAAAAATGCACTGTGCTCATCCTCTTCAAATGCCTTGTTTGTAAATAACTGATAAAGGGTACAAATGCTTCATTATTACAAATGTCTTACAGTAAATATAGGCATCACCACAACTTATTTCATTAGTAAGAATAAACCCTTAAGCAATGAATATAAATGCTGAAAAGTGGTGCATTGTTAGGAGTTGATCTTACTACACAAGTTTCGAGATTATCTCCATTGCACTCGGCACACCTCGGCCGATTCGTACCTCATCAAACGTTTGATGAAGGTGACGGAATCAGCCGAGGTTTGCCGAATGATCTCCATTGGTGCACTCTTTTGTTATGGAGGGAAGTTTTGTTTCCACATTAGCAGGCAGGTGGGACAGTTATTTATATATTGCATACATTACGTCATTGATATACTGTGAAACCTGTCTTATCCAACATGTTGAAGGGGAATAAAATCAATGTCAGATTAGACAGTGTGTCGGATTACCCAGTGTTGAATATTTCTGAGCATTATGATAAATGTCAGGTGACTTCATACAGAAAAAAAAAAAAAACATTTTTCGTTAGGTTTAGAGTACATGTATATTTAATTGTCAAAGTGTGTGTGTGTGTGTGTTTCTTTGTTGTATAAAATATACCTTCGGCTGATTAACATTTCTTTGAGACACATCATTTGTTACAGCACTAGTAAACTCTGTAGTAATATATGATAATTTCTTTTAAACGTGCAAAACAGATGGAACTGCCAATCGCTTCGAGTTGTTGCAATTTAATTTTTAGCATTTTACTTACTAACAGTAGATATTAAATATTTTGTCTACCTTCTGTAAACAGTGGTTTTATTTTTTTTTTCTACACTACATTTCTCTCCGATTTTTTCTGCATTGTTAACTTCTCAAGATAGACTGTGCTATTAATACCCTCTCGTGACTTTTCAAACAAATGGGACGTACCTCTAAAACATTGTTATTGCGATTTAATTTTTATCAAACAACATTAACATTTTAAAATTTAATGGGTCTACTTAAAGTGGAAGTTTTTTGCTTCCTGCAAATCTTTTATGTGCACAGTCTCACTTAATTCAGTGTATATTAACCCGGAAATGAAACATTTTCTATTAGACGAGATGCTGTCTTCAAATTGTGTGTTGTCTACATGTTATACAGCAGTTTGCTGTACTCATTTTTTAGGGAGACATGACATTAAAGGACTCTGACTGCGTGTTTGATTTCAATTTCAAGCAAAAAATCTTATTTATTCTGTTAGGTAAAGGCAATCTAAATATCAGGTACTCCTTTTTATTTTCTATCGTGTGGATGCTATTTTGTCAATGCGAGAATAAAATTGATAACAACGAAGAGTACTGATTGCCTAATTTTTAAATTCAAACACAGTTCATTTATTGTTTATATAAACACCATCAAACTAATACATGTAATTAACAACTAAGTAGACCAAGCTTGTGCCAAAATGGGACTAGCGACTAATTATGGTACAAATGTATAATTATGTCGAATTACCCAGGTAAAATCATAAGGTAATTATCTAGTCTTGTCGACAAAAAGCACCAGAATTCGGAATGTACAGTGGTCGGAATATACAGTGTTTTATTCTATATATATTATAAAGAAATTTTTGGGAATAAAATATTTAAGTTTTAATGGTCGGAAAGTCCAGTGTGCTGGATTGCACAGTTGTCGGATTGGACAGTGGACACTGTAACATCATAACTGATTGTCGGGATGCACTCTTCAACTTGAAAATTAAGGAATTAAAGAAAAGGCGTTAATTTTTTTCAATGAACAAAAAATCAGAACAAAAGAAACTAAAAATCAGAACAAAAGAAATATCAGTGGATAAGGCCACAATTAAAAAATTGTTGGTTTAGCATTGCCGATTGAGTCTTTAAACACTTGGGTCAGTAGGTAGGGAAAATATATATATATTTTTTTTTTTGCTGATACAAAAATTAATGCTATTAAATTAATTGTGTTGTATTATTGCATTTTGTTATACAAATTAACAACTATGTCAAAACAGATATGAAATTTCACACGTCATACAGATTTCTAATACAGTTTCAGGTCTTGAGTGACAATTATGAAGCAAGAACTTCTGCTTTCTGCTTTCTGAGCAGGAAAGGGCATATACAAAACAAATCAAACAACACTAACAAATAAATGCTGAAATGATACATCGTGATATGTAGGTATATTGGGTTTGGATAATACACAGACATTATGATATGATACATCTCTCAAAACAATTTTATGATTCAATACATGAATCTAGACATTATTTAAGTTATAAAATTTTAATAAAATTACTTTCTTATTAATTTTTTTCTAAGGATAAATTAACCATAAATGTACAAACAAACAAACAAAAAAAAAAAAATCAAAAATCAAATCACTTGAATTGAAATTTACAGCAAGGTATTGCTGTAAAAATTATCATTAATATATTTGTCTAGGGAGGAATTGATGGGAATTGCTTTAATTTGTTTTTAAAAATTTCAAAATGATTTATAAATCATGATTGTCAAATGTCAATAAATAACACAATAAAGTAGATTCATCATTTAGTGTAATGGCTAAGCATTCAGATTTGTTGTGTTTCTCATATATATACTGAAACTTTGAATGACACAGTTTATAAACATGCTGTCTTCTCTGTAGTAGCAGCACTAGTGAAGAATCCAACATGTTTCAAAACTTGTAAGAATGGCCTGATTTGAATGTGTAAGATACAGTTGCAATGCCAACCATGCCAACATTTGGCATTTGTTTATTTTTTAGTTATTTATGAACCAGCAATAATTAGGGCTGCACCAAATATATTGATACATATCTAGATTAATGAATATATCGTATCCAAAAAATAACTTAATTCCAATACATTTTGGGCAGGCAGTTTTTTTATGTAATTCTGTGAAAAAGTTGGGAATTTCAATCACCAAAGATTATATTTAACTGTTTTGAATTAAAACTGATCAAAAATGATATAATCGTTAAGGAGGTAGCACATCTTAGATGATTATTACAAAATCATAAAAATACATAGACAACTTTACTTAGCATGTTGATTTTACAGTCAACAAAAGTTTGAATTTGAAGTGTAATTTTTAAAGACAGTGAGACAAAAAATTAAAAATGAGTTGCAAAACAATTATTATTTTTATAAAATTCATGCATAATGATTTATAAGACTTTTTTGACAGAATTGTTAAAGAATCCAATATATTGCATATCGCATTAAAAAATGTCTTCTTCTTTTTTTTTGCTCAATACACAGCCCTAGCAAAAATGATATACAACAAGGACTTTGATTGGATTATTAACATTCATTCAATTGATCATAATTATTAACTGTTATTGCACTTTCATTTTCAAAATGTTGTTAGGTATGTTGTTTGTTCATTCTTTTGCATTGATATTATAATTTATAAAAGAGTATTTTAGCAGAAAAAAATTATCAATTTACCTTTCATGGAATAAAGACATGTTGACCCTTGAGCTGAGATTTTCTCTCTTTCCATAGATGTGTTACACTGGGGTCCACATGATTCTAGCAGAGACCCTGTAAAAAAGGACTTAATTATGGAAAAGCATGAAGAATATATGCCTATTATACATATCTTAAATTCTAATAAAAACAATGTTTTTTTAATTAAGATCCATATATTTCTAATGATTGACATAATACAAATTCAAAATAAAATATGCATGTCTATATTATACCTTAAGCAGACCAATTGCATTAATACATCCTTCAGGAGACCAACTTAAATCAATATTTGAGAAATATTTGTGAGAACAATAAATTTGTCTACTTTACAGTACTAAATGTACATGGAATCTATTGGATCATGTTACTTTGATTGACCTGCCTTAGTTCAACACAGTAATCTAACAAAGAAATTGAGCCAAAACAACACTTTAAGACTTTTTGAACAGTGCATGTTCCTATCATTTCAAAACCATTACCAGTAAAAAGCTAATATAGGAAAATGATGACAATTAATTAATATTGTACTTTCAGGTATATTAAATGAATCAATCTGATTCGTCAAGAAACATTTGTTAAAAAGCACTATTACCCACTGAATAATGAAGCCACGCCCTCCAGTGTCGCAACAGTCAACATTGCTTGACGACGGGTGATATTCCAAAAAATAGTGACTGCGCAGATTTTTGCGCTCAAGGTTCACTATTATTTGTATTTGTATAAAACATTCAGTATAATATAATAAATGTTGCATGTAGTTGAGTGTAACATTGAAAATTTTCACCCCTCGAAAACCAAATACGTCAAAAAGGGGATAGGTTTCTTTTCCAACTTCTATATAGTTTCGCCCCTGCAAAAACTGGTATAGACCTAGGAAATGTTTAAACGGGCTAAGAGAAATCAAATGCATCGAGAGTACTTTAATTGTTTTTACCCAAGTTACATGCCAAAAAAGATTCAGAAAGACGTCACATAAAGTTAACGTTGATTTGAACTGAAGTTAGGGTGTCAAAAGTCATTCACGTCCAAAAGTGACATTGATCATGTGTGGTAGATAATAAACTCCTACGAGCAAAATATGCTGGCATAATCAAGTGAGGATCTTTCCCTAATCCTATATATAAATCCATTTAATACAATATTATATGCACTTAAGCAGCTGTTTATGACATTGTAAAATTATATAAACAAGACCAGTTTATATAATTTATAACAAGACCGGTTTATACAATTTATATACCAGGGTAATTAATAATATAATTTATATAATTTTATCAAGATAAGTGTATGGGGTAGAGGGAGCAGACATTGAGAAACAATGTTGTCGGACCTCATGAAACTAAACTAACAGTCTTCCAAATAACCCGGGAGTCCAATGCCAGGGACCTGTTAAATTTGCAGCTGGGCATGTAAAAATTGTCAAATTACATGTCCGAAGAGGGCATATGTGAATCTTCTTTCATTGTACGATCTTTACTTGCCATTTATTCTGTCCTACCCCCATTATTCCCGTAAACGTTGCTATATGTAATGTCTTAGATGGATTGCCTGTCTACATTCTCGATACGACCTGTCAAATGATTGTCAATCTAATCATTGAAGTGTTTAGTTTAACCTATTTGTTTTCTCGAAGTTTCTTGCTAAATTACGAGACGTTCATCGATGCCACATACTGTGGCACTACAGTCATGATCCCATTTCTGAAATTCAGTTCAGCTAAACCGGCCAACAAATGACCAGCATGCAACTCAAAAGTTATTAATGAACAAAAACGCTTTAGAAAATGGCAATCACGGTGAATAAACACACGTGGTACAGTCACGGAGAAATACAATGCTGAAAAAATTAATATAAAACCTTTAAACCTAATGTTTTTTTTTTGTAGCACAATACTGGTAAATGTAAGAATTTTGAGTAGGGCATGTACAAATTTGAATGCGCTGGGTACAAATGATAGGTCTACATGCCCGAAGGGCATGTGCTGAAAAAGAATTGTTGTGAAGACTGAACTAAAGTGACAGCGCCGGGTGATCATATAAAGTCCCTTTTATTACATAATAATTTGGCAAATTATCAACATATCACGCTAAAATTTCCAACATATCTTAACGGTGAGAATTTTTATTTTTTAAGTTGAAACCCCGTGACCTGTGAAAAAAATGAAATTTGTATCATCTAAAGTCTTAAAATGTATCAAGGTAATTTTCAAAACAAATTTGCGGTTGGAGTTATAAATGAAGGATAAAACCAGAGACCTCGGAATGGAATACTCGGAAGTCTCTGGTTTTATTCTACCCCAACTGGAAGTTGTATCCCATCTAAAGTCTTAAATTTAACAATGTATCGAGGTAATTTTCGAGGAATAAATGAGTGGTTTACAATAAAGAGTCTCGACCAGAGACGTCTGAAACGATTTATTTGACAAGAAAAAAGTCTCATGAAGCGAACAATGTCATTTTAAAGTAGGTTAATGATTGATATATGAACAAAATACGAGCTTGAAGCAGGGTGCCTAAAATTGAGTTAGAAACCTTGTGGTAAAAATAAGTAGGGGTGCACCGTATATGAAACAAGTGCCTGTGATTGATAGTCTGAAATTTCTCTTCACATAAATATTAAAAGCTTGCAGTGATCGCTATAAATCTATACAACAGTCAAGTTACATATGGTAAACTAACATAAAAACAAGATTACAACAGTCATGATTACAGAAGGTATATTTTGAAGACTCTAGGTCAGTAGGTGAATGTTAACAGGTAAACACACGTGGGACAGTCACCGCAAATAAATGAACCACAAAACGACTTATAACATTAAAATGTAAATATTCATCTGCACACAGAGTTTTGCATAATAATTTTAAAAAAGTGTAAATTAAAATATAAAATAAACAAACCTCAAACCTTGTAACAAGGCTTGTTTCCCTGCATTCTTATATCTGGTTCTCTGTCACTGAAAATGCAGGGAACCCAGGGTGCGTTATTAACTCGTACACAGATTTGTTGATACGAATAAACCTATAAACATATATATACGAAATAAAATATTATCTTAAAAAATGAAGAATTTCAAATTGCTTGAAAAATTATCTTTATGTAGTTTATAATAAATGGTTGTAATTGTATATTAATTTCTATCTATCCATTAAAATTTGATATTTATATCAGCTTATGTATCCGTCTGAACAATTATTGTTTTTACACTCCCTGTCACATCTTCATAGTTAAGCCTGTAAGCATGGTAAATAGGAATCAATTTCAGTTGAAGGGGACCAAAACCAAACATTTTTTAGTTTCATTTGGTGGGGAGGGGGGGGGGGGTATAAACCCCAAATGATCATTTTATCTCCGTCACTGAACTGCTGAAAATAATGAAGGGAACTAGGCTGCGATAATGATTTGTAAAGAATTTCCAATTGCTTGGGAAAAAAAAAGCTTTTCGTGTATGTGGTTTACAATAATGGTTGTACTTGTATATTTTCTATATATCCATTAAAATTTCATAGTATCAGTATTTCACTTGTAAACATTAACTGTTACAATAATATTAAATAAATGTTACACTCACTGTGTAACATTTAGTTACTGTCACATCTTCATAATTAAACGAGAATATTCCCTTCCGTAAATATTGCTATATATCTGAACTGTTACCAATTAATCTTTCTTTGGTGAAAGAAAACCTCAGGGATGGAGAATAGGCCCGTACGTAATTTAGTTGGAGGGGGGGGGGGGGGTGAGCACAACCAAACAACTTTTTTCAGTTTCAGGTTGGGGGAGGATACAAACTAAAAATTTCTTAATAAGCAAAAGAAAAATACATTACCAGAGGTTATTATTTAGGGGGGGCAAAAGCAAAAGTAAAAAATAGATCATCAGAGGTTATTATTGAGGGGGTCCAAACATAAAGGAGCAATGTTTTCTATAGTATACCTAAATTTCATTTCGTACGTTCCTTCAGCCATGTATTGTATCAAATCTGCTTCACCCTTTTTTTACTGCATATGTATTTTAACAGCAGAGGACCACATTATATTAATAAATAATTATTAAATTATAGCTATTTTTTCTTACAGGGTCTGTTTCATTTATACTATATCATGATGATCATGTCCTGCATGATGTTTACAGAAAGTTTAATTTAAATTTTTAAGCTCGACATAGCTGCGTCAACTTGCGAGACTATTTTTTTCTACGTTCGGCCTAATCTTTAAATATTTTCTGCAATTTGTTTGTGGACTTGCATAAAAGAATTAAAAATATAGGGGCATATCATTTAACTTTATTTCGAATTTCCTTCAGGATTTTATATACCGAACTATAGTCTAATGATTATTTAAAATCATACTTTTTCTCTTAAAAGCTAAATTACTAGGCAAAAAAAAAAAACAAAAACAAAAACAAAAAACACGAATGTTTGTCTTGCGTATTCTTAATTACAACTTATTACTGTATCATTTTAGTTACTTACCCAAATTTCTCAACATTCATGGTGTTCAGAGGTCATTTTCTGAAAACTGAAGAGGCATTCCGATGGCATTCGGAACAAATGACGGAAAGCACTTGCTAAGAATTCAAAACATGGTCCATAAATTTACAATATTTTTCCTTTTTAGGTTTTTAACATAAAAAGTGGAAAACTAAGTTAAAGAAACACTCATTTGAACATATCAAAAGCGGAAAAAATATATATGCTAGATTTTTTGTTTAATTGCATGTTTTTCATGGTCTCCAAAATGCAGAAAAATTATCCTTTGAAATTATACGTAGGTTATACATTCTTTTCTTTTTTAGGGAAGATGATAGGAATTAGACAACTTTTGAATGTTAAATAACAGAGTTAAAGATTAATAATATTTAATGGCAGACTGTTTATTTATCTATAAAAAGACATTTGCAATACTGATGAGGTCAAAATAATAGGGAGACCGAAAAAGGTCGCCTTAATCCAGTGGTCTCCCTAAGCCAGAAAATATATCCTCCTTGGTCTCCTAAAGCCATATGTCATATATATATATATATATATATATATATATATATATATATATATATATATATATATATATATATATATATATATATATGACTTATGGCTTTAGGAGACCAAGGAGGATATATTTTCTGGCTTAGGGAGACCACTGGATTAAGGCGACCTTTTTCGGTCTCCCTATTATTTTGACCTCATCAGTATTGCAAATGTCTTTTTATAGATAAATAAACAGTCTGTCATTAAATATTATTAATCTTTAACTCTGTTATTTAACATTCAAAAGTTGTCTAATTTCTATCATCTTCCCTAAAAAAGAAAAGAATTTATAACCTACGTATAATTTCAAAGGATAATTTTTCTGCATTTTGGAGACCATGAAAAACATGCAATTAAACAAAAAATCTAGCATATATATTTTTTCCGCTTTTGATTTGTTCAAATGAGTGTTTCTTTAACTTAGTTTTCCATGTTTTATGTTAAAAACCTAAAAAGGAAAAAATATTGTAAATTTATGAACCATGTTTTGAATTCTTAGCAAGTGCTTTCCGTCATTTGTTCCGAATGCCATCGGAATGCCCCTTCAGTTTTCAGAAAATGACCCCTGAACACCATGGATGTTGAGAAATTTGGGTAAGTAACTAAAATGATACAGTAATAAGTTGTAATTAAGAATACACAAGACAAACATTCGTTTGTTTTTTGTTTTTGTTTTTTTTGCCTAGTAATTTAGCTTCCAAGAGAAAAAGTATGATTTTAAATAATCGTTAGACTATAGTTCGGTATATAAAATCCTGAAGGAAATTCGAAATAAAGTTAAATGATAGGCCCCTATATTTTTTAATTCTTTTATGCAAGTCCACAAACAAATTAAATATTTTAAAGATTAGGCCGAACGTTGAAAAAATAGTCTCGCAAGTTGACGCAGCTGTTTCTAGCTTAAAAATTTAAATTAAACTTAATTTCTGTAAACATCATGCAGGACATGATCATCATGATATAGTATAAATGAAACAGACCCTGTAAGAAAAAAATAGCTGTAATTTAATAATTGTTTATTAATATAATGTGGTCCTCTGCTAATAGAATATATATGCTGACTGTAAAAAAAATCTGAATCAGGGTGAAGCAGATTTGATACAATACATGGCTGAAGGAACGGGGGGGGGGGGGGGCAGGCCCCCTGTAATTTTGCTGAAATTTAGGTATACTATAGAAAACATTGCTCCTTTATGCTCGGGCCCCCTCAATAATAACCTCTGATGATCTATTTTTCTTTTGCTTTTGGGCCCCCTCAATAATAACCTCTGATAATGTATTTTTCTTTTGCTTATTAAAAATTTTTTGGTTTGTAGCCTCCCCCAACCTGAAACTGAAAAATGTTGTTTGGTTGTGCTCACCCCCCCCCCCTCCAACTAAATTAAGTACGAGCCTATTCTCCATCCCTGAGGTTTTCTTTCACCAAAGAAAGATTAATTGGTAACAGTTCAGATATATATAGCAATATTTACGGAAGGGAATATTCTCGTTTAATTATGAAGATGTGACAGTAACTCAGTCAAAGCCACAGTGAGTGTAACATTTATTTAATATTATTGTTAATGTTTACAAATAGTGAAATACTGATACTGTGAAATTTTATGGATATATAGAAAATATAAAAGTACAACCATTTATTGTAAATCACATACATGAAAAGCTTCTTTTTTTTCAAGCAATTGGAAATTCTTCATTTTTTCATGAAATTATTTTATTTCGTATGTATGATAATTTATTTCGTATTTTAATTCAGTCAACAAATCATTGCCGCAGCCTAGTTCCCTTCATTATTTTCAGCAGTTCAGTGACAGAGATAAAATGATCATTTGAGGTTTATACCCCCCCCCCCTCCCCACCAAATGAAACTGAAAAATGTTGGTTTTGGTCCCCTTCAACTGAAATTGATTCCTTCTTACCATGCTTACAGGCTTAACTATGAAGATGTGACAGGGAGTGTAATAACAATAATTGTTCAGACGAACACATATTAAGCTGATATACGTATCAAATTTTAATGGATAGATAGAAATTAATAAACAATTACAACCATGTATTATAAACTACATAAAGATAATTTTTCAAGCAATTTGAAATTCTTCATTTTTTATGATAATATTTTATTTCGTATATATGTTTATAGGTTTATTCGTATCAACAAATCTGTGTACGAGTTAATAACGCAGCCTGGTTCCCTGCATTTTCAGTGACAGAGAACCAGAATAAGATTTGTAGGGAAACAAGCCTTGTTACAAGGTTTGAGGTTTGTTTATTTTATATTTTAATTTACACTTTTTAAAAATTATTATTATTATGCAAAAATCTGTGTGCAGATGAATATTTACATTTTAATGTTACAAGTCGTTTTGTGGTTCATATTTGCGGTGACTGTCCCACGTGTGTTTACCTGTTTCCATTCACCTACTGACCTGGAGTCTTCAAAATATACCTTCTGTAATCATGACTGTTGTAATCTTGTTTTTATGTTAGTTTACCGTATGTAACTTGACTGTTGTATAGATTTATAGCGATCACTGCAAGCTTTTAATATTTAGGTGAGGAGAAATTTCAGACTATCAATCACAGGCACTTGTTTCATATACGGTGCACCCCTACTTATTTTTACCACAAGGTATCTAACTCAATTTCAGGCACCCCTGCTTCAAGCTCGTATTTTGTTCATGTATCATTATCAATCATTAACCTACTTTAAAATGACATCGTTCACTTCAAGAGACTTTTTTCTTGTCAAATAAATCGTTTCAGACGTCTCTGGTAGAGTCTCTTTATTGTAAAACACTCATTTATTCCACGAAAATTACCTCGATACATTTTAAGACTTTAGATGGGATACAACTTCCAGTTGGGGATAGAATAAAACCAGAGACTTCCGAGTATTCCATTCCGAGGTCTCTGGTTTTATCCTTCATTTATAACCCCAACCGCAAATTTGTATCGAAAATTACCTTGATACATTTTAAGACTTTAGATGGGATACAAATTTCATTTTTTTCACAGGTCACGAGGTTTCAACTTAAAAAATAAAAATTCTCACCGTTAAGATATGTTGGAAATTTTAGCTTGATGTGTTGATAATTTGCCAAATTATTATGTAATAAAGGGGACTTTATATGATCACCCGGCACTGTCGCTTTAGTTCAGTCTTCACAACAATTCTTTTTCAGCACATGCCCTTCGGGCATGTAGACCTATCATTTTTACCCAGCCCATTCAAATTTGTACATGTCCTACTCAAAATTCTTACATTTACCAGTATTGTGCAACAAAAAAAACCCATTAGGTATAAAGGTTTTATATTACTTTTTTCAGCATCGTAAACCAACCATGGCCTGTGATTGCCATTTTCTAAAGCGTTTTTGTTCATAAATAACTTTTGAGTTGCATGCTGGTCATTTGTTGGCCGGTTTAGCTGAACTGAATTTCAGAAATGGGATCATGACTGTAGTGCCACAGTATGTGGCATTGATGAACATCTCGTAATTTAGCAAGCAACTTCGAGAAAACAAATAGGTTAAACTAAACACTTCAATGATTAGATTGACAATCATTTGACAGGTCGTATCGAGAATGTAGACAGGCAATCCATCGACATTACATATAGCAACGTTTAAGCGAATAATGGGGGAAGGACAGAATAAATGGCAAGTAAAGATCGTACAATGAAAGAAGATTCACATATGCCCTCTTCGGACATGTAATTTGGCAATTTTTACATGCCCGGCTGCAAATTTAACAGGTCCCTGGCATTGGACTCCCGGGTTATTTGGAAGACTGTTTGTTTAGTTTCATGAGGTCCGACAACATTGATTCTCAATGTCTGCTCCCTCTACCCCATACACTTATCTTGATAAAATTATATATAAATTATATTATTAATTATATAAATTGATATAAATTATATAAACCGGTCTTGTTTATATAATTTTACAATGTCATAAACAGCTGCTTAAGTGCATATAATATTGTAAATGGATTTATATATAGGATTAGGGAAAGATCCTCACTTGATTATGGCAGCATATTTAGCTCGTAGGAGTTTATTATCTACCACACATGATCAATGTCACTTTTGGACGTGAATGACTTTTGACACCCTAACTTCAGTTCAAATCAACATTAACTTTATGTGACGTCTCTCTGAATCTTTTTTGGCATGTAACTTGGGTAAAAACAATTAAGTACTCTTGATGCATTTGATTTCTCTTAGCCCGTTTAAACATTTCCAAGGTCTATACCAGTTTTTGCAGGGGCAAAACTATGTAGAAGTTGGAAAAGAAACCCATCCCTTTTTGACGTATTTGGTTTTCGAGGGGTGAAAATTTTCAATATTACACTCAACTACATGCAATATTTATTATATCATACTGAATGTTTTATACAAATAATAGTGAACCTTGAGTGCATAAATCTGCGCAGTCACTATTTTTTGGAATATCACCCGTCGTCAAGCAATGTTGACTGTTGCGACACTGGGCGTGGCTTCATTATTCAGCGGATAATAGTGCTTTTTAACAAATGTTTCTTGACAAATCAGATTAATTCATCTAATATACCTGAAAGTACAATATTAATTAATTGTCATCATTTTCCTATATTAGCATTTTTACTGGTACAGTGTAATGGTTTTGAAATGATAGGAACATGCACTGTTCAAAAAGTCTTAAAATGTTGTTTTGGCTCAATTTCTTTGTTAGATTACTGTGTTGAACTAAGGCAGGCCAGTTAAAGTAACATGATCCTATAGATTCCATGTACATTTAGTACTGTAAAGTAGACAAATTTATTGTTCTCACAAGTAGTTCTCAAACATTGATTTAAGTTGGTCTCCTGAAGGATGTAATAATGCAATTGGTCTGCTTAAGGTACAGTGTATAATATAGACATGCATATTTTATTTTGAATTTGTATTATGTCAATCATTAGAAATATATGGATCTTAAATAAAAAACATTGTTTTCATTAGAATTTAAGATATGTATAATAGGCATATATTCTTCATGCTTTTCCATAGTTAAGTCCTTTTTTACAGGGTCTCTGCTAGAATCATGTGGACCCCAGTGTAACAAATCTATGGAAAGAGAGAAAATCTCAGCTCAAGGGTCAACATGTCTTTATTCCAAGAAAGGTAAATTGATAATTTTTTCTGCTAAAATACTCTTTTATAAATTATAACATCAATGCAAAAGAGTGAACAAACAATGTACCTAACAATATTTTGAAAATGAAAGTGCAATAACAGTTAATAATTATGATCAATCGTATGAATGTTAATAATCCAATCAAAGTCCTTGTTGTATATCATTTTTGCTAGGGCTGTGTATTGAGCAAAAAAAAAAAAAAAAAAAAAGAAAGACATTTTTTAATGCGATATGCAATATATTGAATTCTTTAACAATTCTGTCAAAAAAGTCTTATAAATCATTATGCATGAATCTTATAAAAATAATAATTGTTTTTTACTCATTTTTAATTTTTTGTCTCACCGTCTTTAAAAATTACACTTCAAATTCAAACTTTTCTTGACTGTAAAATCAACATGTTAAGTAAAGTTGTCTATGTATTTTTATGATTTTGTAATAATCATTTAAGATGTGCTACCTCCTTAATGATTATGTCATTTTTAGCTCACCTGAGCCGAAGGCTCAAGTGAGCTTTTCTGATCACATTTTGTCTGTAGTCCGTCTGTCTGTCTGTCCGTCTGTCTGTCTGTCTGTCTGTCTGTCTGTCCGTCCGTCCGTCTGTAAACTTTTCACATTTTCGACTTCTTCTCAAGAACCACTGGGCCAATTTCAACCAAACTTGCCACAAAGTATCCTTGGGTGAAGGGGATTCAAGTTTGTTCAAATGAAGGGCCACGCCCTCTTTCAAGGGGAGATAATGAAGAATTAGTGAAAAATTAGTAGCATCTTTTAAAAATCTTCTTCTCAAGAACCACAAAGCCAGGGAAGATGAAACTCATGTGGAAGCATCCTCAGGTAGTGAAGATTCAAGTTTGTTCAAATCATGACCCCCGGGGGTAGGGCGGGGCCACAGTGGAGGATCAAAGTTTTACATAGAAATATATAGGAAAAACCTTTAAAAATATTCTTCTCAAGAACAGCAAAGCCATGATGAGTCATATTTATATGGAAGCATCCTCAGGTAGTGTAGATTCAAGTTTGTTCAAAACATGACCCCCGGGGGTAGGGCAGGGCCACAATGGAGGATCAAAGTTTTACATAGAAATATATAGGAAAAATCTTTAAAAATCTTCTTCTCAAGAACAGCAAAGCCATGATGAGTCATATTTATATGGAAGCATCCTCAGGTAGTGTAGATTCAAGTTTGTTCAAATCATGACCCCCGGGGGTAGGGCAGGGCCACAATGGAGGATCAAAGTTTTACATAGAAATATATAGGAAAAATCTTTAAAAATCTTCTTCTCAATAACAGCAAAGCCATGATGAGTCATATTTATATGGAAGCATCCTCAGGTAGTGTAGATTCAAGTTTGTTCAAATCAAGACCCCCGGGGATAGGGCGGGGCCACAATGGAGGATCAAAGTTTTACATAGAAATATATAGGAAAAACCTTTAAAAATCTTCTTCTCAATAACAGCAAAGCCCTAATTGGTCATATTTATATTGCAGCATCCTCAGGTAGTGTAGATTCAAGTTTGTCCAAATCATGACCCCTGGGGGTAGGGCGGGGCCACAATGGAGGATCAAAGTTTTACATAGAAATATATAGGAAAAATCTTTAAAAATCTTCTTCTCAATAACAGCAAAGCCCTAATTGGTCATATTTATATGAAAGCATCCTCAGGTATTGTAGATTCAAGTTTGTTCAAATCATGACCCCCCGGGGGTAGGGCGGGGCCACAATGGAGGATCAAAGTTTTACATAGAAATATATAGAAAAAAAATTTAAAAATCTTCTTGTCAAGAACAGCAAAGCCCTGATTGATCATATTTATGTGGAAGTATCTTCAGGTAGTGTAGATTCAAGTTTGTTCAAATCATGACCCCCGGGGGTAGGGCGGGGCCACAGTGGAGGATCAAAATTTTACATAGAAATATATAGGTAAAACCTTTAAAAATCTTCTTCTCAAGAACAGCAAAGCCATGATGAGTCATATTTATATGGAAGCATCCTCAGGTAGTGTAGATTCAAGTTTATTCAAATCATGACCCCCGGGGGTAGGGCGGGGCTACAATGGAGGATCAAAGTTTTACATAGAAATATATAGGAAAAACCTTTAAAAATCTTCTACTCAAGAACAGCAAAGCCCTAATTGGTCATATTTATATTGCAGCATCCTCAGGTAGTATAGATTCAAATATGTCCAAATCATGGCCCCTGGGGGTAGGGCGGGGCCACAGTGGAGGATCAAAGTTTTACATAGAAATATATAGGAAAAACCTTTAAAAATCTTCTTCTCAAGAACAGCAAAGCCATGATGAGTCATATGGAAGCATCCTCAGGTAGTGTAGATTCAATTTTGTTCAAATGATGACCCCCGAGGGTAGGGTGGGGCCCAATAAGGGGATCGAAAGTTTTACATAGGAACATATAGAAAAAAATTTCTTCTCAAGAACAGAAAAGCTATGTTTAGTCATATTGATATGGAAGCATCCTCAGGTAGTGTAGATTCAAGTTTGTTCAAATCATGACCCCCGGGGGTAGGGCGGGGCCACAGTGGAGGATCAAAGTTTTACATAGAAATATATAGGAAAAACCTTTAAAAATCTTCTACTCAAGAACAGCAAAGCCATGATGAGTCATATGGAAGCATCCTCAGGTAGTGTAGATTCAATTTTGTTCAAATGATGACCCCCGAGGGTAGGGTGGGGCCCAATAAGGGGATCGAAAGTTTTACATAGGAACATATAGAAAAAAATTTCTTCTCAAGAACAGAAAAGCTATGTTTAGTCATATTGATATGGAAGCATCCTCAGGTAGTGTAGATTCAAGTTTGTTCAAATGATGACCCCTGGGATAGGGAGGAGCCACAATGGGGGATCAAATTTTTACAGAGGAATATATGGGAATTTTTTTTAAAAAATCTTCTCATGTACAACAAAACCATTTGTTAAAACAAATTATATATTGACATCAGGTAGTTTAAAATTCAACACCCCCCCCCCCCACACCGGTAATCTTTTCAATTCTGAACTGATTTGTGCTTTTGCCTTGCCAATGTGCTCAGGTGAGCGATGTGGCCCATGGGCCTCTTGTTGATCAGTTTTAATTCAAAACAGTTACCGGTAAATATAATCTTTGGTGATTGAAATTCCCAAGTTTTTCACACAATTACATAAAAAAACTGCCTGCCCATAAGTTATTTTTAGCTCACCTGTCGTTGTTGTCGTCTTTGTCATTGTTGTTGTTGTTGTAAACTTTTCACATTTTCATCTTCTTCTCAAGAACCACTGGGCCAATTTCAACCAAACTTGCCAAAAAGCATCCTTGGGTAAAGGGGATTCAAGTTTGTTCAAAGGAAGGGCCACACCCTCTTTCAAGGGGAGATAATTAAGAATTAGTGAAAATTTAGTGGTATCTTTTAAAAATCTTCTTCTCAAGAACCACTGGGCTGTAAAAGTTGAAACTTAGGTGAGACCTTCATTACATAGTGTAGATTCAAATGTGTTCAAATCATGACCCCCTGGGGTAGGGTGGAGCCACAATGGGGGATCAAAGTTTTACATAGGAATATATAGGAATAAATCTTTAAAAATCTTCTCCTCAAGAACAACAAAGCCATGATTAGTCATATTGATATGGAATCATCCTCAGGTAGTGTAGATTCAAGTTGGTTCAAATCATGACCCCCAGGGGTAGGATGGGGCCACAAGGGGGGATCAAAGTTTTACATAGGAATATATAGAAAAAATCTTTAAAAATCTTTTTCTCAAGAACAACAAAGCCACAATTAGGCATATTGATGTGGAATTATCCTCAGATAGTGCAGATTCAAGTTTGTTCAAATCATGACCCCCAGGGGTCGGGTGGGGCCACAATGGGGGATCAAAGTTTTACATAGAAATATGTAGGACAAATCTTGAAATTGTTTTTCTAAAAATACAACAAAGCCACAATTAGTCATAATTTATATGGAAGCATCCTCAGGTAGTGTAGATTCAAGTTTGTACAAAATCATGACCCCCGGGCGGGGGGGGGGGCACAATGGGGGATCAATATTTTACATAGGAATTTATAGAAAAAAAATCTTTAAAAACCTTTCTCTCAAGAACAACAAAGCCACAATTAGTCATATTGATATGGAATCATTCTCAGGTAGTGTAGATTAAATTTTGTACAAATCATGACCCCCAGGGGTAGGGTGGGGCCACAATGGGTGGATCAAAATTTTACATAGAAATATGTAGAAAAAAATCTTGAAAAATCTTCTTCTCAAGAACAACAAAGTCACAATTAGTCATATTGATGTGGATTCATCCTCAGGTAGTGAAGATTCAAGTTTGTATCAAATCATGACCCCTCGGGGTAGGGTGGGGCCACAAGGGGCGATCAAAGTTTTACATAGGAATATACAGAGAAAAAAAATTGAAAAATCTTCTTCTCAAGAACAGCAAAGCCTTGTTAAGTCATATTGATATGGAAGCATTCTCAGATAGTGTAGATTTAACTTTGTTCAAATCATGACCCCCAGGGGTAGGGCGGGGCCACAGTGGAGGATCAAAATTTTACATAGAAATATATAGGTAAAACCTTTAAAAATCTTCTTCTCAAGAACAGCAAAGCCATGATGAGTCATATTTATATGGAAGCATCCTCAGGTAGTGTAGATTCAAGTTTATTCAAATCATGACCCCCGGGGGTAGGGCGGGGCTACAATGGAGGATCAAAGTTTTACATAGAAATATATAGGAAAAACCTTTAAAAATCTTCTACTCAAGAACAGCAAAGCCCTAATTGGTCATATTTATATTGCAGCATCCTCAGGTAGTAAAGATTCAGATATGTCCAAATCATGGCCCCTGGGGGTAGGGCGGGGCCACAGTGGAGGATCAAAGTTTTACATAGGAATACATAGGAAAAAACTTCAAAAATCTTCTTCTCAAGAACAGCAAAGTCATGTCTTGTCATACTGATATGGAAGCTTTCTCAGGTAGTGTAGATTCAAGTTTTTTCAAATCATGACCCCTGGGGGTAGGGTGGGGCCACAATGGGGGATCATAGTTTTACATAAGAATATATAGGGGAAAAAAACTTGAAAAATCTTCTTCTCAGGAGCAGCAAAGCCATGTTTTGTCATATTGATATGGAAGCTTCCTCAGGTAGTGTAGATTCAAGTTTGTTCAAATCATGACCCCTGGGGGTAGGGTGGGGCCACAATGGGGGTTCATAGTTTTCCATAGGAATATATAGGGAAAAAAACTTGAAAAATCTTCTTCTCAGGAATAGCAAAGCCATGTTTTGTCATATTGATATGGAAGCATCTTCATGTAGTGTAGATTCAAGTTTGTTCAAATCATAAACCCCAGGGGTAGGGTGGGGCCACAATGTGGGATCAAATTTTTACATAGGAATATATAGGAAAAAATCTTTTCATCAACAGAAAAGCCATGTTTAGTCATATTGATATGGAAGCATCCTCAGGTAGTGTAGATTCAAGTTTGTTCAAATGATTGGGGGGGGGGGGGGTAGGGAGGGTCCACAATGGGGGATCAAATTTTTAAAAAGGGAATATATAGGAAAAAAATCTTAAAAAATCTTCTGCTCAAGAACAGTAAAGCCATTTGTTATATTGATATGGAAGCATCCTCAGGTAGTTCAAAATCCAAGCCCCCTCCCCTTTAAACTTTTCAATACTGAAGTGATTTGTGCTTTTTCCTAGCCAATGTGCTCAGGTGAGCATTGTGGCCCATGGGCTTCTTGTTTTTGATACGATATATTCATTAATCTAGATATGTATCGATATACAGGTAAACTTCGGTATCTCGAACACCGGTATGTCGAATACCACGGATATCTCGAAGTGAATCAACGGTCCCGGCCGTTTTTATTATATTTATGATTTTAAAAAACCCCGGTATCTCGAACACGGAAATCTCGAATACCTCGCTTATCTCGAAGTAGATTTACGGTCCCAAGTGCTATAAACACATGCGTTATCTCGAAGTCCAACAAATTCTCGCTCCGCTGAATTCACACCTTAGTACACAATAATCCCATTATGCTAATTTTACGGTCTGTTGAACGTTTCCATTAGGTCTAGCACTGGCTTCATGGGACCATTGCTGATAATCACACCTTATTAGTCCCAAGCTGTTGTTTTTGGTAGTTAAATTTAATTACGCAGGCCAGGTGATTTGGAGGTGTTAATAAAATGCACTCTCAGAGATACTATGACACGATAATGAAACAGCAGCTTGGGGACGATTACTGTACTAGAAATTTAAATTATCGAAAATACACGCTTATACACATCATTACATATCAAAGTAAACACTGAACACATCAAAGTGATATTGAACTCAAGAAATTAAACAATTAAAGACATTATTTTGAGTATAAAAGTCAGTACCAAAAATCAAATCTTCAGTAAATATCATGTCCGATAAGGCAATCTAACGAAGGTCCCAGTAGCCAACCAGGGGATAGTTAGATTATCTGACCGTGGTGTAAAAAGAAAACTTAAAGTTCATACAATCGAAACAAAGTTTGCTTTTGTTTATTCATATTGGCAATTTCAGTAAATTATTGTAGAACGATAATTCCTGTTGTTACATTTAGGCATGTGGGTATATGTACATATCCTGTTAAAGTCTTTGTGTATCACATTATATCATGATATACTTCAGACAAATTAGTACACCCGTAGTTTTGAATACAATTCATACATTGATTTCATTTGCCACAATGGTCTCTTTAATATTGCAATAATGCATTTGGTCTTCCTAATGCATGTACAATGCAGATACTGTATATACTCTATGTCCAGCTTATAGGTGAGTCATAAAAAGATTAGTATTTTGAAACCAGGTTAAAACATCAGAGCATTGATTTGAAATTGTCAATTGATTCTGGCAAAAAGTTGTACTGATTTATAAGCGGGTCAATAGCAAATCCCTCCAAAATAACCTCAAAAAATACAACTGACTTATAGGTGGACCACCTTATAGGCAAGTATATATACGATATAGTTTTTGTTGAATTTTGCTAACAGCAAAACACTATGAATAATGAATTTTGGGAAAAAAAGATTATTAAGTTTAATGATGCATGTATGTAGTATAGAAATATTGTTCATATGCCTGTACATGGTACAAATATGCATTTTACAGAGTGTACATATGCCAGAATCATATGGACCGCAGACTGGCCCTGGTGATTCCGTTAAGAAAAAAGAGGAAAAATCAGTGCTTGTGCTCATTGGTCATTGGACAAAGGTAAATAGATTTATTTCATGAAACTAAACATGTAAATTACTAGGATATTAAAATATCACAATTAAAATACATGTACTGATTTATATATATATGGATATCAGTTGGTCTCCTTGATGGAGTTAAATGCATTTGTTATCCCTTTTAAGTGGATCATTTAAATATTATGCAGTTTATTTAGAAGCTCTTTATTATCTGCACTGTTCACTTTTACAGGGTGTATGCCAGAATTTTTTCAAGAACAGTCTGAATCTGACATGGAAAAAATTAAGAAAAACAGCCTTCCTGTTTATAAATCTACATTCTGACAAAGGGTAATTTTGTTTAGTTCAATTAGAAGTGCACATTTAAGTTCAGTTGCTTTCCTTAATGATATATTATAGCATTTTTATTCCCTTATGAACAATATGTATACTTGTAAAGCATGTATCACAAAATCTTCTGCAAACAAAGTTTTGGGTGTATAGTGTTTGTTGTTTAACGTCCCTCTTGAGAATTTTCACTCATATGGAGACGCCACCACTTGTCGGTGGAGAGCTGCAAATTTTTGTCCTATACTCAGCACTTATGGCCATTGAGCATTGAGGGATCTTTATCGAGCCAGCACCTACTGTGACATGGGACCTCGGTTAATACCTCTGTCTCATCTGAAGAACGGGTCTCCATGTCCCACAGTGGGATTCAAACTCGCGATGTAAGAATCAGCTTCTTTCTCCGCGACTCTAGAGTAGATGCTCTAACCACTGCATCTGCTCTACTTTGGCAACTTTGGGTGTATATAAGCATAGGAATCATCATGTCCATCTGTCTGTTCATGTGTTTGGCCACTTTTATGATTAGTTTTTTGTTCCAATTCTGGCTGAGATAAATTGATTTAAGTCATCTAAATACAAACAAATTAAGGGAAAATACCAGGGTATTGGAATGAACATTTTGGAATACTGTCTAATTGTTCCATTGTAGTTGGTTTCTTTAATGTTGAAATAATGCATCTGGTCTTCCTAATGCATGGCATACACTGTATGCATGTGTAATGTTAAAGTTGGCTGAATGTAAAACAGTTCTTGCATTATGACAAAGGTAAATAGATTTAGTTCATGTAACTAAACATGTTAATTATTAGGGTATTAAAATCTCAAGTTTTGAATACTGATTTACATGTGGATCGAGAGTAGTTGGTCTCCTTAATGCAGTAATAATACATTTGGTCTCCCTTATGCATACTGTATATTATATAAATTTAATGACTGACATGTACGAGGGTTGATCCAAAAGTTCATGGAATTTCTTCATATTTTATTTATTTATTAGTGAAAGTGGTTGAATACTGATTTACATGTGGATAGTAGTTGGTCTCCTTAATGCAGTAATAATACATTTGGTCTCCCTTATGCATACTGTATATTATATAAATTTAATGACTGACATGTACGAGGGTTGATCCAAAAGTTCGTGGAATTTCTTCTAGTGTTGTACCGATAATCAGAAAACATCGATTGTCGACAAAAAAATGCTACCGATTCCGATGATCGATTATAGTTTTTCATAATCGATCATCGGAAACATACTTCTAATACAATACATTCCGGAATTATCCATTTCTGGTTTAAAATTTATTTCTTCTTAACGAAAGAAAATGGCATCTGCATCTGATACTAGCCAACTAGCACGAAGCAGAGGTGATTAAGAACCGAAGATGCATATATAGGGCCTAAAAAAAATTATTTTTGTTTCCTGTAATAACCCGACCGACCCATTCAATTTACCCCCGGGTGAATTTTTTTTTCTGCCAAATCTGTGTTTGCTCTTTGGTTTGATCAATCAGCTGATTCTTTTTATTCAAAAAATATTAATTGTGTCTTTTATTTGAGATATAAATATGCAACTTAGTCAACATTTACATTAAATATAGAGTGATCAATTCCCCCCACGACTTTTTGAAGTTCGTTTTCTGCCGCTAGGCAGCCATGTTGGGTGTCCACTGTAAATATTTTTAGGTCTAGAAAGTGTAAAAGAAGCAAAACAACAAAGAAAATAATATATTATGTATTTTATATATTCATGTTAAAGAAATAAATGAAATTATTGTAATAGTCTGCTTTTTGTATACAAAACTATGAAGAAATCCAATTATAATCGGTGAAATCGCATCAGAAGCAGTAACCGATTCCAACCGATGATCGATTATGAAAATTAACTGATGTCTCATCACTAATTTCTTCATATTTTTTTTTATTTACTAGTGAAAGCGGTTGAATACTGATTTACATGTGGAGAGTAGTTGGTCTCCTTAATGCAGTAATAATACATTTGGTCTCCCTTATGCATACTGTATATTATATAAATTTAATGACTGACATGTACGAGGGTTGATTCAAATGCTCATGGAATTTCTTCGTATTTTATTTTTTTATTAGTGAAAGTGGTTGAATACTGATTTACATATGGATAGTGGTTGGTCTCCTTAATGCAGTAATAATACATTTGGTCTCCCTTATGCATACTGTATATTATATAAATTTAATGACTGACATGTACGAGGATTGATCCGAAAGTTCATGGAATTTCTTCTTATTTTATTTATTTATTTGTGAAAGTGGTTGAAAATTACAAATAAGAATATAGACACTTGTTGAATTTTTTTGATAAAAAAATATTTTAAATTTTAATGATAGTAACTCTATGTTAGTTGCCATAGCAAAGGATGTTTTAAAATGCAGGGGAGACATTTACTTGTTCATTATCATTTTAATTCTTAATACGTGATATAAGAAAAAACCTGCGCCAAGTGGCAAATAAAATGAGAATTTTGTCATAATTACGATTGCTTGACCACTAATATACCTGTATGTGAGAGTTTTACTGATTTAACTTGATATTTAGATTATTAGTTGATGATTTCTTGTTCATCTTTTAATTGTTAGAGAACGTCACATTTCAGTCAAGTTATAAGTTTTGTTAAAATCTTAGGAACACTCTGACTTAAAGGGGTATACTACTGATACAGGCTGGAGAAAAATGCATTTAGCAACTGATTTTCCAGTGGCGTGAGAAATTTAAGAACAATAGAACTTCCATGGTGTGGCTGCTTTTGGAGGGTCTGTTTTTCTCGTAGACAAATTAAGCGTTGATGGATGTTGACCGCTGACGTACTGTGCTTGACTTTGCTACTGAATTGGAACATCATATGGAAAGATGGGGAGTATTTTTGAAATATGAATGTAATATAAAGATAAGTTGATTGGTGGATACCCAGGCTTTTCTTGAGAGAAAAAAGGAGAAAAAGGCAGGATATTCTGTAGAATTACTTAGTTGAATTGAACATGAGGGTGAGATGCTCCTATAACATGACATGACATACTTAACTTGACGTTACGTCGAAGTCTCCCCCGGATTTTACAACTATCAGTGTTCAGAAAGCTCATGTGACCTTATTGGTAATTGGAACTTAGTGAAATTTTCCAGTATTGTTGCATAATGACTCTATATTATAAATATGCCTATTGTTTGCTTTCATCAAATCACAATAAAATTTTAGAAATAATTAAATTCCATGAACTTTTGGATCAACCCTCGTGTTAGAAAAAAGATGGATCTAAGATTGAACAGGTTATAATTCACCTGAGTCATTTAAATTACTTATTGCTATCTGTTCTTGTTCAGTCATCATGTGTCAAGTATTGTCTGTAAACTATTGAACATTTTCAGCTTCTTTTCTGGAACCAGTTTCAACTAATTTCTCGGTTGAAGTACTGTATAGGGGATTAATTTCAGGGGTTGTAATTTTCATGTTTTTCTCTCCTCTGACACGATCGCAGTTTGTTGAATTCGCGGAATTGGTATATAACTAAGGTTACATGTACCTCCCTTCAATGTCTATATCCATTTACCGGTAATCCATAGCATAGCTAGAAGGCATTAATCAGCGTTATGTATTCACTTCACGAACAACAGGGTAGATTTATATATACATCAGCAAGTTCGATAGTTATTTGAATGATTTTATAAAACCAAAATGTCGACAAAAACATGATAATGCAGGTAACAAATACACGTCGTAACATAGTTACGTACGGGTATTCAAAACCCATGACCCTAGTGTTTTGATTGATGAAACATGTAGCGTTGGCTATTAAAACAGTTTTTTTTTTTACAAATACAGGTTATTATCTGCTGGGTGATCTAAATCAATGTTAAGCGTGATAATTAAAATAATTGAATGACAAGTACGATTCGTAATTACTGAAATGACCATGTACTGCACGTATATTTACCTATCGTAGTCTATTCTCAAATTTCCAAATATAACATGTAGGTTATTGAAAACTTATTCACTGTTTCTTGAATTCACGGATTTATTCACACCGTGAATATAGCGAATATTAACACCGCGAGTTATTTTCCCCCTATACAGTATACAGACTTAATATAGAAATGATTTTATCGACTTTCTCAATCTATGATGAATTTAAAAATGTAAATATAAGCATTTAATTGTAAATATTTAACATTTAGCATCTCATAACCAGAGTTGGAAATTACTGACTGCCCGAGGCAGTCTGTTTTTCAGGTAGGCAGGGACAAACTTTAGATTAACCTCGGTGGTCGGGGTCATTTAAACAGGTAGTTCCTGTTTTCCTTTTTTTTTTCAGGGTATAGTAAGTCTATAGAAATTAAGTAAAATATAGTATATCAAAGGAACACTTCTAGTTAAAAATATGAGATGACCTATAGGACCAATATTGGTTCAGTCTTTAGAAAAAGCTTACCGATATATGTTCCGGTCACTGACTTTAGGTCACGTGTGTAGTTTCTTGTTTCTCATGTATTGCTTTAGTTCTACATTAATGGTAATCTAACAACCAAGCTTTATGATAAACGTGATGACTTTAACTTTTCAATCATCAACTTCCCTTACTTATTCAGCAATATACCTTCATCACCTGCATACGGGGTTTATATCTCTCAGTTGATTCGATACGCAAGAGCATCCTCTATGTATGAACAATTTTTAAAAGGAGGTAAGTTATTGACAAACAAATTGCTGAAACAAGAATATCAGCAGTCTTGTTTAAAGTCATCATTTTGTAAGTTCTATGGTCGATACAATGACCTTGTCAGCAAATACAATTTATCATTAAGTAAAATGCTGACTGACGTTTTTCATACTTATTGTTAGGCCATTATTTACACACTGAATTGTGTATGGAATTTTCTATTGTTTCCCAGTCGTGACAAGGAGCACACAGCGGGTGTGACTAGTCTGCAGGGGATGCTCACTCCTCCATGGCACCTGATCCCACCTCTGATGTTTTGGAGGTCCGTATTTGCTCTGCTCCTATTTTGTATTTTTTGATGGGCTTTTGAGCTTGAATACTGATTGTTATCTCGATATATTTCATTCTACTCAACTGTGTGTTCATGTGATCCTACCTCAGTATTTACAGAATGATACATCCTTTGTTTGAGGGTCATTCTTGATGTCTGACTGAGTAATGGCAATGGGACATAAAACCTTAACTGACCTTACCACATTCTTTTCTAATCTGAAAACCCTCATGCATTTTTAGCATAACATATCGCCAATGCACACATTATTCCCGAGGAATGAACTGCATCTACTCTGCATAGAACAGTATCTCTCCCACTGGCACAACAGTACTATTACATGTCATTATGTTCTTGAAAGGCAAACACAGCAATTATTGCTCGGCATGATTTTTTTTCATGACACCTGGAGTATCGAGTAACACAAAGTGAATGATTCATGTCCTCGAACAAAGTGTGCTTACAATGAGGTTTAGTTCCGGTTGATTGCGTTTAGTTAAAGAGAATTTATGATCTGCATTTCCATAGATGTCTTTTATATCAACACCAAACATGCATTTAAGGAAGAAAATATATTAAGTAAAATGCAAAAGCCTGTATTAAAAAATCAAAGGACAAGTGCACTTAAGCAATGCTTAATGGGTCCTTTTTCAGTGCCATATTACTTTAGAATGTATTACCAAATTGTTCTCTTTTGGTAATAGTTAAACACAAGTGGACATTTCTAATTAAAATCACATTAAAACATCACCTAAATCAGCATGGATTTGAAACAAATGAAGTTTTTTAAATGTCTATAGATACCCCAAATCCGGAAAAGTCGTACCGAACCTATTTTGAGTTTCGTTTATTTAAATCAAGGGGAGGAGACATTTAAATCAGACACTTGAACAATCTGATGGTGGATCATTGACAGGCGCGTATGCCGAATGATACTTCTTGTGCTATTTTACCCGAGAAAAAAATCGAATGAAGTTGTATAGATACCTGTATCCATAGTGATCAAACTAAGAAATTTGCATGCTTGCATTTGAAATAATACAATAAGTATTAACATTAGTTCCTTTAAATTTTAAAATGAAAAAAAGTGTATTTGGTGGCTTTCAATACCAGTACCATTGTCTTGCATGAATGTTAAAATGGTTGACACTTTTATTTATGATGACATTTTAACGACACTAAACTCTCCTAACCATCCCGTGTTCCTAAAACCAAATACATACAAACTTCTCTATGCGGCTTGACTTCGATATAATGATACAGAACGTGGTTATGTTTTACAGTGAGCATCTTTGAGGAATGTTTACCGGGGTAGAACTCACGTGACTACCAGTATTTTAAATAATTTATTCCACGGGTGGGTTCAACATAGGTCATACAGGTAAATAGCTCTTGCTTGTTATAGGAAAAACATTGAACTTTTCATACATTTTTAATATTTTAAGTACAAGCCTAATCATGTACAAATTTCCTACTTTCACACAAGTTTTATAAATGTATAATGCATTTTTTGTCAATCGCACAAGTTTGTACAGTGTTAGGCTGACAATAAACAAAAGCTTTGAAATGAATGACCATCCTCGATTTACTATAGAAAATCACGAATGTCGGCTGACCCCTACCACATTGTATGGCTTTGCTCTTTGTATATTCAAAATTTGTTGAATCTTATGGTTTAGATATCAATTAATGATCTGAGATGGAAAATTATGCTTAATTTAATTTACCGGGGCCCATAAGTGCACTCGTTCTTTAGTGTTTATACAGGTAAAAAGTTTGAAAAAATAAAAATGTGCCAACAAATGGTTTCGAACCAGGACACTAAAAATGTTCATGGTGAGAGTCTGCGGTCTATTGTTCTGGGCTATGCTGACTATGAGGACATTTGTGATAAATATAAACCAGTATGATAGAAATAGGTTTTCACGTTTTTTGTAGGTTTTTTTCTATGAATTTCGACCCTAGGCACCTCTAAAAGAACCTTGTTTTAAATAATCATAATTTAGGGGCAGGCAAAGGGTGATTATATTGCATCTATCGGGTATAATTTTCTTATCAGAAAATTGTAGAGATATGCAAGGTTAATTAATGACAACATTTATTTTTCCTTTTTGCCTAATACTTTTATGATTTTCACTAATAAATTGATTATTGAAAAAAAGCCTTTATTATGACTGCTGATTTTATCTCCATCTGTTAATTTTCAACACCTTTTCTCATGATTATAGTAGATAGAGAACAGATTATGATTTCTAACATTTACTTTTACAGATCATTTTCTTGAGATAGGTGGAACCAACAGTCAAATACAGACACTTCTAAGAAAAGTAAAAATCTGGCTCAGGTAAAAAAAAAAAAAAAAAAAAAAAAAAAAAATCATTTACAGTTTTAACAATTAGTAATTTTACCTTAATTAACTGGAAAAATCTTATTTGACGAAATACAGGTCAAGAATGAAAAGTTTAAAGCCTAGTAGGGATTTTGGTCAATCATTACAGGTAATCTGCAGTCCCTCTTGAGAATTTTACACTCATATGGAGACGCCACCACTTGCCAGTGGAAAGCTGCAAATTCTGTCCTATACTCTGCACTCATGGCCATTGAGCAGTGAGGGGTCTTTTTCATGCCAGCACCTACTGTGACATGGGACCTTGGTTTATAAGGTCTCATCCGAAGGACTGGTCTCCATGTCCCACAGTGGGATTCAAACCTGCGACATAAGGATCAACTCCTTACTTCGCGACTCTAGGGCAGACGCTCTAACCATGGCGCCACGCTTGTGACTAGCTCAGTTTTAAAGAAATCATTCAAGATATTCTTTATCAAACTTAATATGCTGATACATATATAATTAGTAAGACCTATTCAACTATTTCAAAAACTTTTGACCTTTCCTGTGACCTTGACCTCACTTTCCTTCAATTTGCATTTTGCATGGTTTTAAAACCATTTAAAATATTGATATCTAAGGCTATGCATCTATACATAATTTGGTGAGAATTTATCATTTATATCCATTTTTTTTAGATCTCAATTTCAATTTTAAAGAAACTTTTCAAGATATTCTCATCAAACTTCATACACTAACACAAAATTTCATGTTGCATTACTATACACTCGGCGGGCATACATGTCCTATGGACATATTTCTAGTGTATTGCTATTTCTGTTGTTTGTTTACTTCCGGTCAGTAAGTGCCCCCTAGGGGCAAGCCCCAGTCCTGTTTTCTTTTCCAGGGTTGCAACAGCGCCCCCTAGAAAAACAAGTTGCACCATCCAATTAAATCGTATTTTGTGCTGCTTTATGCCAATGAAATTAAGGCTGGACAGCATATGTATTATATTCTGACCAATGGGGTTGCCGTATTTTCAAATAATTAGGATAGACTTACCACTTCAGCATTCCTTTCATCACTGAAGTGATATACATGGTCAAAAATTGACTAACTTTCATTTTTGTGTCAACTGCAGAGCAGAACGACACTTAGAGATCACTTTACCTGGTGTCTGTCTGTCCGTCTGTCACACCTTATATCTCCAAAATTTTGAGAGGCAGGGTTTTGATAATTAGCATTTATATATGTTTTTGAGCTCATGATACTATACTTTAAAACTGTATGAAATTCAGTTACCACACAAACTTATATTTAAATACTATGAAAATACATTGGGATCAGTATTCCACAATGAATCATGTTGACTGACAAAGTGACAATTAAAGTAAAGACAGTCTGAAATTCCTTTCCTCCGAGGATTGTTGGAAGCACCTACATGTGTATTAATAAAATGATAAATAGTTATTCCTCATAATTTTAATTAAATTATTCATTTGAGGACTGGAGAACTATATTTTCTCCGATTGCCAGATTCTATCCCAGTCTTTTAAATACTTTTGGGTCCTTTTTTTCCTTGCAGGCAAATGCTTGAACCTCCATGCTAATATTAAATTAATAGCGGACCACTCTTAGATTTATTTACCTCTTTAATGACGATACCTAGCAGGTGACATATACATTCCTTGAAACACTCTAGTTCCTATTTGATTTTCACTAATATAAAGATTATTGAAAAAAGACTAAGGTGCTCTATAGTGATCAGTCTATTCATTCATCTGTCTGTCAAATACACATATCCCTTATGCTTGTTCAGAATACAGGTGACTCTAAATACTTCAAACTTTATATTTTTTAATTAGATACATGTAGCTGCTTTGGAACATCTGAAAGGTCTATTACATTATCACTAGTTTTACTAGTTTTCTTCATGTAAGTTGAATATATTTTAAACTTTTAAATTTTTATTTTTTCCAGGTAAGAAAGAAATTCAGGAGTTCTTAAATTGCCCTTGGAGTTCTTGGATTGCATCAAACGGCTAAAAGACCTCAACAAAAACAGCGTCTTGAAAATAAAAATGAAAATATTCAGTGAAAAAAAAAATGATGAAAGAGCCACTAAAAATCTTCAAGCCTTTGAGCTGAAATCTGGAAGTCAATCTGTGGACTTTACTAGTAAGTCATAATTACTAAGTCATCATTTGTGTATAATAAATACACTAAACTGTAAACACTTGTTAAAATGTGTATAATTTTTAGATATAATTTTTATCTCATAGACTTCAATAGTTTCATGTAATTTAAGTAATAATGAAAATTTCCTGCTGTCTAGCTAGATTAGAAACTATTATTGTCCAATTTTGGATATTGTGAAATAATTCATCTAGTATGCATACATGTGTGTACACTTACGTGTAAATTAATTGTTATAGCAAATTCAATCGATCATTAAGTTGAATGTTGACTAATGTTTTTCTTCAAAATTGTTTACACTGAATTGTTTGTGGATTTTTCCATTTGCCCAATCATGTCAAGGAGCACATGGCAGGAAATGCTTTCTCCTCCATTGCACCTGGTGTTTTTAGAGTCTGTTTGCTCTGCTCTAATTATGTATTGTTTCAATGGACTTTAAAGCTTGATCACTGTTGGTAATCTTCATATTTCATATACTATTAGAGTACTTGAAGAAAACTGTAAAGATTTAACATACAATATAATGCATGTATATTGCACTTTAAGTACAGTGTATGTGGTTAAGAAATGTTAAATCGTCTCATAGTGCATTGAATTTGTTGAAAATTAGAAAATGTGTTGAAATTTTTTTTGAAATAATGTTAGATTGCAGATTTTTTTAAATCATGCAAGTAAGAAATTGCTAAATATTTTTTAGATTTTCTGGACAGTCTAGATGAGTTCTCACTATATACCTAGCATTGTCATCCCAGTTAAAATTTAAGGAGCAAGGTTAATTCCTAAGCTCTACCTGGACAAACTTGCATGGATTAAAGCACATTAACAGATTTACTTCAGATGCTTGACCTGATCTACATTTTCCTCATGTGTTTTTTTTGTTTTTGTTTGTTTGTTGTTTAACATCCCTCTCAAGAATTTTTCATCCATATGGAGATGCCACTACTTGCTGGTGGAGAGCTGCAAAATTTGACCTATACTTTGCACTCAGGGCCTTGAGCAGTAAGGGATCTTTTTTGTGCCCACATCAACTGCTAGGCGGGACCTCGGTTTATATGGTCTAATCTGAAGGACTGGTCCCCACATCCCCAGTGGATTTGAACCTGAGACTTAAGGATTAAATCCTTACTCGCGACTCTAGATTACAAACTCTATCCTTTGCGCCACATGGGGGACTCCACAAGATTAAGTGTTTTGAGCAGTCCTATTCTCATGTAATTATAAACTCTATGTTGAACAAACCTGCAAAGATGATGTATGTACATGTAAATGTTTCAGGGTACCAATCCTTGATTTGACTTAGATATTCTGGATTAATGACCAGTTTTTTAGAGAAGGTTCATTCAGTGTAACAATATACTCTTTGGTGATCAGTAAACATAGATGATGTATCCTGCTTCTGATGCTGGATGTAACATACATTTTCAGGGTTATTGAGCAGTTAAATCTAACCCAGACCAACTTGCATAGATTTTGGATCCAGGTGATATACATTACTAGAGTGTTTGTTAAGTGAGACTTTGCCTTACTAGTAGATAACATTTATAGAAGTGAGCTCTGTATTCTTTGATTAGGTATGTTTTTTCTTTGCTCAGGATATATACAGACCTGCCTACCCTTCCGCTTTTGGCGTAATTTTTCCGCTTTTTACCACAAAATTACGCTGTTACGCCATGAAAACTAATTTTACGCTTTTTAAATATTTTTTCATAAACAACTTAATGAAAGGCTAACTTTGGAGTTAAAGTAAAGGCTTTCCTTAATGAAAACGAGAAGGTAATTAATACTAATTAATGGAGGGTTTCAGTTCTTCACGATATGATTATTTATGATACAAACAACATACGTAATACACGTTGTAGTTATGCCTTTTAAACGGGTTGCATGCCAAAATTAAGGAAACAAAACTTTTGAATGATGTGTGCAATAAGTAAAGTCAGTTTAATTTTCAATTCGGTTTATTCTTACATTGCTAAGAACAACATAGAGACAAGTAAATGTAAGAAAAACAAAATCGAAATAGCGGAATAATGTAGAATTTGTATTAATATGCGATTGAAACTCTGAATTATGTGATTTGCTAATTTTTTTCCAAACGTTCATTAGGAATGTTAGATAAATAAGTTTGATTTGACTGCAATTACGATACCAGTTTTTACAACAAAGGGACTTTTTGTCTATAAATGATTTGAAAAAGAAACATTCATGCTTGCTTTGTTCAATGATGTACAATTTCAGGTTGATTCAGACAATATAGTAGCTTTGCAAAACATCAAAGTAGGGAAACATAAAGGATTACGCCTTTACCTCATAAATTCCACTTAATTGAGTCTTGAAATTACACCCTCGCAATGAAAAGGGTAGACAGGTCTGTATATATACCATCAGTGCCAACTACCATACATTTTATATAATAGATGTAGCTGTTGTTCAACTGAATATGATAAAACTGTGGATGAAAATAATTTGATTTTTGTACCTTTGAATGTATTGAATTAATTTGTAAAAGCTGTTATGATACAATGTTTGATATTTTATAAAAGGTTTTAGCATATGCAATCAATAAATGTATCAACATTTTTATTTTATTATACTTTTTACCCTGCAAACTTCTTAAAAACAGAATAGTAATGATCCATTTAATTGATACTAGGTTAGTGTCACATTGTACTGGTATATCATGTATACTGAACTGTAAATAAGAAACATCTAAATAGGTAAAATCACAGCATGAATCATTGGATTATGTAAGAAGTGCACTATCTTGTGCTTTGGTATGGTATTAATAATAAATGTTAAACTATCATTTTTTTTTTCAAATTAACAAAGGATATGCTTGAGTGACTGTATTTTGACTAGCAGTAAAAATAAAATGATTTTTAAGTATTTGAATTATTTTGATTCATGGTCTCTGCAAGTTTAATGATAGCAAATATGTACCGGGTATATTGAACATGGCATCCACATATTGCTATACTGGATGGGGCATAACTTTTACTGAATCTTAATCACAACCTTGAAATTTTATGTAGTACATGTACTCTTGGTTTCAACTGGTCAAATGTATTCTTAAATCAGAAAGAATTTAAACAAATATAGGCATAGGTCAGAACTTCATCAATTAGTTGGAAAGCGAATGCACTCGGTGACTATATGGTTTAAAAGAAGCTGGGTATAAATAGCAGGAAAAACTACTTGATGTCCACTGTGAACTTTGTGTCCTCAACAAAACAATATGGAGTATACTATACTTGGTCTAAAGAATAATCTGTGTCTGCATTCACTTTTAGGTTAAACTGTTTTGGGCATTGAGAGTTTGTTTGTTGTTTAACGTCCCTCTGGAGAATTTTTCACTCATATGCCAACACTTGCCGATGGAGAGCTGCAAATGACCTATGCTCGGCACTCAGGGCCAATGGGCAGTGAGGGATTTTTTTCATGCCAGCATCTACTGCGACACTGGACCTCTGTTTGTACGAAGGACTGGTCTCTACGTCCCACAGTGGGATTCAAACATGTGACAAAAGGATCAACTAACTCCACGACTCTAGAGCATAGGCTCTTTCCACTGCACCATGTGGGCGACAGCATTGAGAGTTAAATGTGGATATCAGAACAAGCTACTCTGGGCTTATACTCTCTATATATTGATTGATTGTATGTTGTTTAACATTCCTCTCAAGATTTTTTCACTCATATGGAGACACCACCACATGCCAGTGGAGATCTGCAAATTTTGTCCTATACTCGGAACTTACGGCCATTGAGCATCGAGGGATTTTTTTCGTGCCAGCACCTACTGCGACACAGGACCTCGATTTATACGGTCTCATCTGAAGGACCGGTCTCCCCATCCCACAGTGGGATTTGAACCTGCGACGTAAGGATCAACTCCTTACTTCGCTACTCTAGAGCAGACGCTCTAACCACTGCGCCACTGGGGCAACTACTCTCTATTTAAGTCACTTGTGCAATGACTTTAGTTTAATTCAAAGTTTTGTACTGATCATGTTGAGTCACATTAGCACAAATATCTTTCTGCTGACCTTGACTAATGACCATCCGCAACTATTCTGGTTGGAAACAATATGTTAATTAATGCATAATAAGTGAAATTACTATGAAAGAAAAATGGTCTACTTAAACCACAAGTTATATTTATAAAAAATATACACTGGTCTCCTTAAGTCATATGAGAGAAACATAAAATATTAAGGAGACCATTTTTTTCATATATTTTTAGGAGGCATTTATTATGAAAAAATAAAGCAAGAGTCGACTAAATGGTGTTCTATAGATCTTTGATCTGGTATTTCTTTTTAGAAAAAAGCAAATTTAAAAAATCTGTATATTGTCCCCTTAAGCCATATATAATGGTCTGGTCTCCCTAGTCCTTAAATCAGAGTTATATATATATATATATATATATATAAACTTTCTTTAGAAAGTGATACTCAGAAAGATATGTTGAATAAATCTGCAAAAATAGTTTGTACAGGTATCACAAAGATTTACTTTAAAGTCATTCTGAAATTTGCCCCCCCCCCCCCCCTAAAAAAATGAAGTGGAACTTTTTCACTGAATTTTCTATTATGTTATCACACAGCTTTGTAATGAAATATATGGAGATAACGAATAGTATTCAAGCTCAAAAGTCCATTCAAACAATACAAATCAGGAGCAGAGCAAACACGGACCTCTAAAACATAAGAGGTGGGATCATTAATGCATTCATATCTAGAAAATCTACCATTATGGTAGATTTTCTAGATATGAATGCATTAATATTAAATCATTTTTGGAGGATTTTAATCACATGTTTTCATTGAATTTCAATATAAAAGTTTTGTTTCTTGAGGAAAATACAAGAATAAGGAAAGTTTGAGTTTATCAATAATAAACCCTGCACAAACTGGTCTACGAATTTCTGTTACATACTAGTATTCCTTTTAAGTATCATTTGTTCTTAATACGTGTCTTGAAATCCAACATTCATAAAGTGCATAAAATATATAGCAGAATATTGATATGATAATGTACATATTGAGTGTAATATGATTGCTTTTTTGTTCTTTTTGTACGATCTGAGATTTACCGTGAATTAATAATAAAACCTTTATCGTAAAGGATTCGATACAGG